TCTTTCTAAACTCAATGAGAATTCAAAACAGAGCCCAGCAACGTGTTGACCCAACCCGACAACTAACACAAACAGGGCAGCCACAAGCACTCCACAGAAATTTGACAGACACAAGTATTTTTTGAGATGACAGCATATTTAACCTATCTCTTCTGAAAATGTCATGCTGTACTGGGTTTATGTGGCAAGGTTTTGGTAGCGGGAGGCTGCAGGGGTGGCCTCTGTGAGGAGAATCCAGGAGATGCCCCATGTTAGATAAGGGCCAGTTTCAGCCGACTCCTAAGGGACTCACTGCTGGTCTGAGCTGAGCTAATAAGAGATGTTGTTTGTGCCTCCATGAGAGCAGATTTAAAGAAGGGGGGAAAAAAACACCTGCTACTCCACATTAGCTGGGAGAGAGGAGTCTGATCCAGCCCTGCAGCCCCCAGGTGAGTGCAGCAGGAGGGCAGGAGGTGCTGCAGGCAGGCAGCAGCAGTTCCCCTGCAGCCTGTGGAGAGGCCCCTGGTGGAGCAGGCTGTCCCCCTGCAGCCCATGGGTCCCACATGGAGCAGATCTCCACGCTGCAGCCCCCCTGTGGGTGGAGGAGCCCCCGGTGGAGCAGGTGGCTGTGGCCTGGAGGAGGCTGCGGCCCATGGAGAGCCCCCGCAGGAGCAGGCCCCGGGCCAGAGCTGCAGCCCGTGGGGGACCCGTGCTGGAGCAGTTTGCTCCTGGGGGATGGACCCCATGGTACGGAGCTGTGTGGGAGCAGTTCCTGAAGAGTTACTGCCCGTGGGCAGCCCCCACAGGCTCAGTTTGGGAAGGATGGCATCCCCTGGGAGGGATCCCATGGGTAGCAGGAGCAGGGAGTGACCATGAAGGAGCAGCAGAGATGAAGCATCAGGGACTGACCGCAGCCCCCATTCCCCTGTGCCGCTCAGGGAGAGGAGGTGAAAGAGGGTAGATGGGGGGGAAGGTGTTTTTTGTTGGCTTTTAGATCCTCACTGTTCTAGTCTGCTAGCAATAGGCAATAAATTACATTAATTTCCCCATGCTGAGTCTGTTTTGCCCCTGGACATACTCGGTGGGTGATCTCCCTGTCCTTATCTTGAGCCCTTCCCATCGTACTTTCTCTCCCTTTCCCTTTGAGGAGGGGGGAGTGAGAAAGCGGTTGTCGAGGAGTTCAGCTGCAGAGCAGGTAGAACCACAACACATGTAAAATCACCTCGGAGACAGGTAGACAGGTCTGTAATTTGGCCTAATTTTCCTTTCATTCACTTGCAACGCAGAGTCACTTCGCTGGGCCGCTCTGCAAAGGTGCCACTTTGCGTTATGTGTTGAACAAAAAGAGTCTGTGCATATATTTTGGAACATAACCAAAAAGTCACCAACAAAAATCAGCCCCTATGGTGCTGTGCTTTGCAGCTGTGTCTAGAGCAGCATTGGTGGCACACCAGTGTTTTGTCTGCTGTTGAACAGCGCTTGCACAGCTTGAAGGCTTTCAATCCAGCATCCTCCCACCTCCCCCAAAAGCCAAGAAGCTAGGAGGGGACACAGCCAGGACAGCTGACCAACAAACCAAAGGGATGTCCTGTACCATACAGCATCGTGCTCAGCAACAAAAGCTGAGGGGAAAGTGGAGGATGCAGGGACATTGTGGGTATGGTGTTTGTCTTTTGCTACATACACTGGGGCCCTGCTTCCCAAGCTATGGCTGGACATCTGTCTGCTGATGGGAAGCGGGGAATTAATTCCTCCTTTTGCTTTGCTTCTGTGCACAGCTTTTTCTGTTTTTTATTAAATTGTGTCTATCTCAACCCATGAGCTTTTCCATCTTGTTTTCTCCCCTTGTTCTGTGGAGGAATGGGAGAGAGAGAGGGCAGCTGGGTGGGCGTCTGGCAGCCAGTCAAGGTCAACCCACCAGAAGGTTCCGGACAAAGATTAATTTTCTTGGCTGCTTCTCTCCATTTCGGTTACTGCTGATCATAAAGAAAACAGATGATGTAAACTTCAAAGGCACTCATATGAGAATTCTCGATTTGATTCACTACTGCCAACCTCAAACATTCAATAGCCAGTGGTCCTGACTAAAAAGAAAGGAAACACTTGGGGTCTAACCTTTTACGCCTTGATGTTTGAGTGCACAAGGATGCGATTTTAGGACCAGCACATTCTAGTTCAAGCCTGTGGCCCCACTCTCACCAGTGCCTGTTTTACATTCCTGCTACTTGACAGGTCAACACCAGCCACTGTGCGCTCAGGAGGAGAGTCAAATGAGCTTCTTGATCTGACAGGCAAAAACAGGGACAATTTGTTCATTCTTGCAGAATAGTTTGTTTCAAAGGTGTTTTGCAGCGTGCTTTGAATCTGTCATACGGTGGCTAAGAGCGAGTGGATGATGCAGGAGGTCTGCACAGGAGCCCAGTTTGTCACTGCAGCATTTCAGACTGTGTGCAGCCGTTTCTGCCAGCAGGAAAAAATGCAGTCACTGATTTCTGTCAAGGACTTTGGCCCTAGTATTTGCTTTTCGCTTTACATTGTTTTATGCAAGTTTTAGACCCTTATTGTTGGTATCTTGGGCTTTTGCTGAAGAATGATGGTATTTTGAAGTTAGAGACATGGCTTTTGTTAAACAAAGAAAATGCAGAAAATCACCTCTGGAGGAGTGAAAGCACCAAACTGCAATGCACAGGCTCGAGTGTCAGGGAATATGCATCTCTGGAAGCCATTTAGTTATTTTCTTACCCCATAAAATAAGTGACATCACTCAGAAAAGACTCCCTGTAGGGAACTTGATCCTCTGGGAGAGAGGATGAGTTAGTGATTAAAGATGAAATACAAAGGTGTTTTCAGCACAGTGGCTGGTTGTTCAATTTTCTAATACAGTACATTACACTGTTAATGGAAACGTTGCTTTGCACCTTCTGTTTTTCTCCCAGAAGAATTAATTTCAGCACAGTTTGCATGCCAAGCATGCACACTCACAGCTGTGAGCTCTGGAGAGAGGGAGAAGGCACAGCTTGGACCTGTGGAGATAAGATCACATAGAGCCTGTAACAAGGCTGGGAACGGAACCCACTGCCTTTGCCAAGTGACTTCACCACAAGACCATCTTTGCTCCTGCCCACGGCAACTGTCCCGCACCATTGCAGATAGACCTCAGAAGCCAACAGACTGGGGGAAAAGCATATGGTTGTTCTGCTGTCCTTTGGGATATCTGCAGGGACAGGAGTTTTCTGTTCCACTCTGTGATCCAGCAAAGAGGGAAAAAAAACAAAACAAAACAAAAAAAAAACAAACACACTCGGCATTTCCTACAGAGCAGCTATCACTTCCAGTACGCTAATCTTCAATCCTAGCTGCAACATGCACCCCCATACCTGGCAAGGCTGCGTGTGTCAATTATTCAGGAATAACCCAGAGCAGGGAGGAAGAGCTTTTGCATTTCAGAGAAAGAAGAGGGCCGTGCATGGACATGGAAACACAGGCTGCTAAGTGTTTGGAAGCCCTTGGAGATAAAAGTACCGCAGGAGTGCCACATGGCAGGGCTGCTGGAATACGTACTGTGCTGCTGAAGTAGCTCTCCATACGTGCCAGTTATGGAGAGAGAAAATCATGGAGCTAGAGACAATCACAGAGCTCTTAAATCCAATGGCCCTGGTATGTAATGAATGGGGAAAGGAAAGGGAGTAAAGTTTTCCATATAATAGAAACCACGATCCCAAGCACTGGCCATGCTGAAAGACCTGGGAAAAAAATGCAACAGGGCATGTAAGAAGGACAGCCTTTGGAGATGACTGCAAATGAAGCAGCTGAAGTTTTCACTTGGATTAGCAGTTGTGTCTTTGTGAAGAAAACGGGGGAAAAAAAAGCCAGAGGAACACTGAGAGTTTCTGAGGACTGTAGGCTTGTACTTGAGAGAGGGAAAAGTGCCTCCTGCTGTGCTGGTATGTGCAAGGTACACAAACTGAAGGAATATCCAGCTCATATTTCTTCCTGTTGGAAGCAAACCACAGAGCTCCAGCTCCTAATTAACTGCTCAGACCAAACGGAGATCATCTATTTTCCAAGCGCTTGGGTAAAAGTTGAGGGAAATCGTATGAGGTGAGGAAAGCTTCCGCTCTTTTCTTGTGTTGCCAAAGCACAGCGTCCTAAGTAAAGTCAGCAATTTTATTTTGTGTATGCTTAGGAGCAATGCTCTTAACTTTGACAAATCAGAAACTTCCTAAAGTCAAAACCTACGGGCCAGAGCTTGCTCTCTTCACCTTGTATTAATCAGCAGATGTTGACTTGTGAACGCATCGATAAAGGCGATCAAAGCAGTGAGTCATCACCAGATGATTCTGAAGGTTATCTGGCAGCTTATCTAAGCAGCCTGGCCTTGGTGTGAGAATCAAAGAGATGATTTGAAGCTGAAATCAATGACAGAGGCATTGTGCAACTTCCAGCATGCCTGCGATACATCACCGATGTAACAAGAAATTGAGTATTTTGCTTAAAGGTGCACAGCCTGCTGCTGTGAAAGATGCAGTGGTAACAGCGTGGTCTGATCTGGTGCCCAGGTTCAGGAGCACATCTCCACAAATCTCCCCACACCTGTAGGTCCTTTTTTTTTTCTTTTTTTTTTTTTTTTTTTTTTTCAGAGCCACAGCCTATTTCAGCTGCTGAGGCTGTTCCCAAGAAAGGGACCGACTCCCTTTTGCTGGGAGCACCTAAAAAGGTAAAAATAAAGAATGAAACTTGACGTGAGCCCACAAGAGTTGCCCCAGGAGGAAAGGATCAGGCAGGCAGCAGCCCGTGAGAGGAGGGCACAGCGACCCTGCATGCCTCCAACCCCTGCATGGCGATATTTCAGCAACCCTCGTGCTTTCCACTATAACAGAGACAACCCATTTTCGGGCAGCCCGAGGCATGAAGCCTCAATACACCACAAAACAGCCCCGCCGGGCCGGCGGGCGGCAGCAGGGAGCGCGGTCCCCTGATGGCGGCGGGGGCAGCGCCTGCCCCTAATGGCGGCCCCGCCCGCCGCGGCTGCGCGCTGCTGCCGAGGGAGGGCTGCGCAAAATGGCGGCCGGGCCGCCCCCGAGCGCGGCTAAAGGGTATGGCCCCAACCAGTTCGTCTCGCTGCCGGCTGAGCTCGATCCCGCTGATTACGATGCCTCGCCAGAGAAGCGGCGTGCTGAGGCTGAGCGCTTGGCTATCCGCGCCCAGCTGAAGCGTCAGTACCAGCTGCAGCTCAACAGCCCGAACCCACCGACCGTCATTGTGAGTGTGGGGTAGGGGGGGAGTCGGGAATGGCCGCCCGGCAGCGGGGTCGGCCCCTAGGGTGAAGGGTGGTACGGGCGGTGAGGCGCCTTCCCCTCCTCACGGTGACCTTGGTGTCCCTGCTGGCTGTAGGACGGGGATTTGTAGGCCGTGGTGCTGTGGTGGGGGCAAATGGGGTCGTGAGACATGGGGTGCCTGCTGCAGGATCTGTGGTGTGTGAGGGCAGGGGCTCAGTGTTGTCCTTCTCTCACAGGAAGATCCTGCCCTGCTCCGCTGGGTCCATGCGAAGACGCTGAATGTCTACCCTACCTTCCGCCCGACACGCCAGACGTCCTTTAGGGGAGCTTTGTTTGCCATAGGTCCGATCCTCTTCTGGATGGCTGCCTTTAAAATTGAGAGGGTGAGTCTGGTGGTGACACTGAGTGTGAGTGAACACCAGGTTGTAAAGCTAAAATCCTTCTGGTGACTTATTATTGGGGTCCCCTTGCGTCTAAGAATGCTTAATACCAATAAAGCAACAAGGGAAGGAAGGCTAGATCATAGTACCTACGATCCCAGAGGTGCCTAAAAGGTCTCAAAGTCCTTTGGTGCTAAGAGTCCTGTATTGTACCCACAGCTATAGGCAGTCAGTTTCTCTGATCAATACGTTTTGTTATAATAAAGCTTTTCATACCACTCACTGCATAAATTAATCATACCAGACTACTATTTTCCACTGTTGGCACACTTTAGGTGTGTTCACTGAATTAAAAAATGAGAGGGAGCTTATGGGTGGCAGGCCTAGCAAGGTCTCTGAATTGCTTGGCCATTTCTCCAGCCCCATGAAGTGAATGGGGAGGAATATTTATGCTGAGTACCATGTCACATCTCGCCTGGATTTTTGAGCTTTTGGACAGCATATCTTGCTTCTGTTCTAAATCCTGAAAGGTGGGTATCAGGATCTGGGCAGCAGTAGATCATTCTGAAGATCCTTAGCTATATAAGAAAATGGTAGGCAACTGGCAGACAGTGGCTGTTATTTTAGATCAAATCATAAACCAGGAAGCACCGATATCAATTGAAGTTAATAGAATACTTGTAATTAGTATTATTTTATAGGATAAACCCAAAATACAGGCTTTAACAGACTTACCCAACATGTTAATACAGTTGCTTTTGAGACTTCAGCGTTCCTGCAGTACTTTGTTGTACTGGTTTTGTTTCATATGCTGAATCACGCTTGCACTTAGCTAAAAAGTGTGGATTAGTATGTGAGTACTTGAAAATAAACCTGAATGTGTGAGAGACGCATCTAGATATATTTTCCAGGAAGTACTTTAGCTAGAGTCTTTGATACAGTCTTCAGGATAATGCGTCTTGCTCTATTCCAGTTCCTTTACTGATGTTTGGGGATCTTTCTTCGTTTTACAGTAGTATATAAAGCACAGTAGTAGTCATGCTTCTCTCTGAGGAGTGATTGTTGTGTGTCTGGGAAGGCAGAAGAGAAATTTAAACTGCTAGCTCCTGAGCATTTCTTCTGGATGATTCCAGCACAAGTAGTTTGGGCAATATCTTCAGTGTGCCATAACGGTACTCTTCTGAGGAATGGTACTTGACTGTCAAGTGAAATACAGATGGGATGAAAGTGAACACAGGAACAATTAGGAAAGTTCCTAAGAAGTTTCTCCATAATCGTGTTTTTAAACTAGATTATTCAGCCAGAAGGAGGAGATAGAGACTAAGTGTACAAATTAACTGGAACACAACTAGTTTGGTGAAAGATACATCAGAGCACTTGGTCTGTCCTGGCCAAGGAGGGGAGACTGATGTGCAGAGATCAGTCTGAGCATCTTTCCTAGCAGATAGGTGAAGGTAAATGCCTTCTTTGTTTTTATTTTTGAATTATGACTGCTAGCAGAATTTGTACTTATGTGATGCTATCTTGCTGTATTCCAGGCCGAAACATTAGAGTAGCTTTTCTGTTAGCCTAGGCTGATTGAAGCTGCTTCTAATAGAATAATGATGAGTGTTCTCTCTTCCACAGGATCGTAAAGAGAAGCTTATCCGAGAAGGTAAATACGAGCGACCATTCAGTGTTTTTTAAGTTGCTGGAGTCGCAGTGCTGCTCTTGGGTTATGAATAAAGATGTACTGTATGCTGACACTTGTCCTTCATAAGAATAAATCTTAATTGCTCATTGGTTGGCTCGCATCTTTAATAATTACGGAAAGTACTACAGTGTGGGATCTTTCTATCTAATACAAATAGATATGGAGGGGATGTCCTGAGCTCACCAGTTAACTCCTTCGGTCTGCATACAAAGGTTCCTTTTAAACTGTGGAAGTTGCTGCTGTCAGAGCAGCTTGGGCTGAAGTTTAAAATTAGTAGTAGGCTAAATAATTAAGCAATCTCACTGTAGTTTCCTAAAGAAGTACTGTTCATGTACCAAGTATTTCTTCTGGTGTTGGTTTAACTAAGTAGATTGCCAAAATCAGATTATAGGTAACTCCAGTGGTATATTTTAACCATCTTTTTAGGAGCCTGCCTGCATGGTCTCTAAGTTGAGTTGATTTTTTTCCTTTCCCTAATAAAATACGACCCTAAACCCTGTTTATTTGTTTATTGCAATAAACTTCTTGATAAAATTGCTGCAGCAATTCTGAAAATAGTGCTTGGGTATCATTGTGTTATATGTGACTAAGAGCATTTTCACTAATTTTGTGATTCTTGTGAGTGGAGGAACAGAAAGTAAAAATGTAAGGCTTTTTTGATTCCTTTACAGTATAGGAGCCCTACTTTTATTTATTTCATGGCCCCTGGAAATAGACTGTGAGTTAAAAAAATAAATAAATAAAAATACCACATCATGCATGAGTGAACTTTGTATCTGCAAAGATACATTATCTGCTTATTCTTACAAGAGCACAAATCTCTTCTGCTGGGGTCAACTGGTATAGGGCAGCTCTAAAGCTGTCACTGCCCAGGGTAGTGAGATGTGAGTGAGGAAAAAAGATCTTAAATCAGTCTTGAATTTTCACATGGCCTCTAGGTGCCGTCACAATCCAAACCACCCCTGTTCTTCAGACACTGTAAAGGATTTATTTTCTGGAATGTAGAGGTCAATGCCAAAAATGCAATCTTACACAAGTTAAAACTCCTGTGTGTGGTGTGAAAGCGGCCTGCATTATTGACTGAAGCAAGAAAAGCTCTGGTAAGCGTGCTGCCCTGCATGATTAGGATGTAAGTACGGGCCATTGGGAGTCCCCGTGCATCAGAGTGAACTGATGAGCTTCTTCACATCATCACAGAGCAGTTGGGGTTGGAAAGGACCTCTGGGGGTCATGTCCTAGCCCTATGGCACAAGCAGGGTAACCTGGAAGAAGTTGGCTGGGACTGTGGAAAGCTTCTGAGAGTCTTGAGTACAAAGGGAGACTCCGAGACTTCTCTGGGAACTTGTTCCCATGTTGTCACTGTCACAGCAACAGTGTTTACAGATGTTTTGAAAAAGGGTTTTTAAAAGTGCTATCTGTTTTTGCTCCTCATTTTCCTGTCTAGGCCATGAAAGACTCAGGCTGGGGAGGGCTTGGCAGTAATTGCGTGCAGCAGCTGCTCAGGACTATGGTCTGTTTTTCAATCCCATATGTGCTCCCAGCAACCCTTCTGCACCTGCTTATGATTTGTTCTTCTACCTTAGCTAAAGCACACCCAGATTAATTCTCTCTGCAGAACTGCTTCTAAAAGGTTGTCACAAATTATATCACAAGGTACGGCTGGGGGTCAGTGCAGGAGAGAGGCGTCAAGACATGGGGAAAGTAGTATTTAGGGAAAGAAATAATTGCTTGTCTGAGCATGCTAAATTAACTATCTTCCTGCTGCCACAAACTAATTTGATCTCCCAGGACCCATTTCCTTGGCTAATTGGAACTTGAGTTGCCACACATGTAAATTCTTCCTTGCAGCTGTATTTGTTTCAGGACGGTTGAACAAATTGTTCAGGATGGGTTGTAGATGAGCGCAGCGCCTCTGGACTTCTAGGCCAGCATTTGTTTGGCGTGCTGCACCTGCCTCAGCCCTTGCCTTTGCAGACAGGAGTGTCTGATGCTCTGTCCCTGCAGATTTGAGCACGGTGCTTGGAGGAAAGCTGCCCTACTTTTCCCTCTTGCTATTTGCAGAACCCCCTGGGCTGTTTTCTTAGGAGGAAAAAAACATGCTGTGCTACTTGAGGTGGTGCTGGGCGTGTAGGGGAAGGAAAGAAGTGTTTCCCTTCAGAAATAGGGAGTGAAGACAGAAGAGCGAGTGTGCCTGATGGAATTTTACCCTTTACTGATGCGTAACCACCCGTGTCTGCTTCAGAGATGAGTTGGTAGCAAGAGGAACCCAAGCCTGCAGGTTCGTGGATCATAATTTATGTCCCAAACAGAAAACAAGCTTTTCCCTCTTCCTGTGAAACATTTAGACCTCATTTATCCCTGGGTCAGTCTGATTAAATCAACTTCTCTGGCACATTGAACCTCCTGATCATCCTCTTTGGAGCTTGTTATTTTAGAGTTTTCCCTTTATATTTTATAATGTAATACTTTGCTCCAAGCTGATGCTTTGCTTTTCCCACCCCAGGATCTGGTGCAGATCCAAATCTGGTGGTGGATGTGGCTGACTGAAGTTGGGCCTTACAGGTCTGCATTTCCTTTGTTTTTGGTCAATTGGAGATTGTATCTCAGGGGAAGTAGGGAGCATAGATCCCCATGGCACCAAAAATAGTAACCGTTTCACATCCTAGACTCAAACACTTACCCAAATCTCCTCTTAGTTTTGGCAGGCTCAACAGGAGAAATCAATTTCACCAGAAGACGAATGAGGAGCGTGGGTTGTGAGCAAACTAGTTCAGGGTATGCACGCGTGAGAGACAAATGGCTTGGTAGCAACATCTATCACACACCTGTCTGGCTAAATTCTCCAAATCCTGTTTTGATATGATGAAAAAGTGGGCATGTGCTAAAGCAGAGGCCTGAGGGTTGGGGGGCCTGCTTGTGAGCCTGGTTCCTAGCCTGTTTGCTTGGGCCTTCCCTGTCTGTCAAGGAGACTGACTTGAACTCGCCACCTAAGGCTGAGGAGTGAATGTTTCAGTGTTTTTTGAGGTCCATAAAAGTGTGTCTGCACTTGGCCTTTCTTCCAGGTAGCTCCCCAGGAGCAAACATCTGGGCTGGCCAGACAGGCCCTTTGACATCCATTGAGCTGCAAATCAGCACTAGGGAGAGACGTTGTCAGTTGCAGGCAATCAAGTCGATATTGAAGGATGGCTAGAGTGAGACTGAAGAGGAAACTTTCCCTCACTTAACATTCTGGATTCTCTGACCTTTTCTAATTTGCAGAATGCTTTTCTGACAACAAGGGTTCTTGGCAACCCTCCACAGACCAGCAGGTTGAAATGCCCCCAATAGGAGCTTTAGATCTGGTAGAGCCTTCAGCTCCGTTTGGGAAGACAACATAAAATGCTTCGTTGATCTCTAGCTTTTCCCTGTGAAAGACATGTCACACCATATATTGGAGGCTCTGAAGTGGCGACTGTCACCTCATATCCACCCAGGGTACAGCATTCACACCAACTGCACGTGGTGAAAGCCCTGCAAGTATTTCAGCTTCAGTGTGTCACCAGGAGGGCTTTAATTGGGTACTTGAAAGCTAAGAATAGTGGTTTTTATTGCATTTCCCAAGTTACATGAGCGTGATCATTTTGGTGGCTCGGTGGCTGCTGGAAATGCTGTTCCTGGGGCACTCATTGCCTGAGTTGACTGTGCCACCACATGCAGGTATGCTGGATTTCTCCATCTTCGTTCGTGTACTGCAAGCAACAGATACGTCTCTTTACCTGCGGTTGGGGTTGAAATGGCTCTTCAGAGGTTCCCAGCACTTGTAGTAGTTTTTATCGAGGCGGTTGGAGGTCTTGAGGCCCCACTTGGTAACAGCCATGCTGAGGGAAGACTCAAACATGAAGGCCTGGTGGGAACAGGAAAAGTAGATTAGGGCAAGAGAGTTTGAATCCAGGCAAGGGGCCAAGAAAGGAGGACAGTCATGGTCTTGACTGCTTAGCTCATAGGCTGAGACAAAAATTAAATCAATCAGCATGAAAATTCCCATCCTCCTGCTCAGGCAACAATTCATGTGTGCAGATGATCAGGGCTGCCTGGCATCTAGTGTCTCCAGAGGAGCTCCTGGGAGCTGAGCAACGTTGATGAGTATGGGGTGTGAATGCTGCAGCAGTTTGGTTCAAGGACTTTCCAGCTTTCCTGCAAGATGGTAGGCTGTACTTTGGGAGTGGCAGCACACTGTGCTGGGTACAAAACCTTACCAGCTCTCTTGGCTCCTTACCATAGTCCCTTCTGCAACCCTCTCAGGCTCCAGCTTGGCTTTGCTCGCCTTCTCAAAACAGTCAGCATCCGGCCCGTGAGGAGTCATCATGCTGTGTAAGCTGGCCCCTCCAGGCTGGAAGCCCTCCTCCTTTGCTTCATAGTGGCCTTTGATGAGCCCCATGAACTCACTCATGCAGTTCCCTGTGGAAGGCATAGAGAAGAGGTTGCAACACAGGAGGAGCACTGGAAAGGCAGTTCAGCATAATCACCTCTGAGTTATAGGCACTGAGGCACAAAGCTCATAGCCAGCACTCTGGTGAGAGCCTGGTCTGCTGTCCCAGGTCATAAGCACAAAAACATTTTGTTTGATGTTCTTCCACCACCTCCAGTCCAGCCAGACACTTCCAAAATTTATGCTTTTGATTCATGCAGGAACTGCTTAGTTCTTGAGAGCCACTGTATGCCCAAAGACAAGGACCCAGATTCTGTCCTTCCCTGAGGAAGAATACTTTAAGCAGACCCTCTGAAACCAACAGTGACATACCACGAACCTAGCTAACGATGGCTAAATCTAATCACTCAGGGGCTTATTAAGTTATGCTCCCTGCTAAGGAAGTACTTTAACAACTGCCATCCCAGTCTTTAGTGGACCTGATGTGACTAAACGTTACGGCAACTTCCAGCTGAGTGGTCATTTTTTTTTGCAAAACCAGAGCATGCTTCTGTGGCTCTGCTCTCTATAACCCCTTTTTGCCACTAGTTCAGTATAGGGCTCTAGGGGGGAAGTTAAGGCACCAGGAAAACTGGGACTCCGAGTGCACCAAAGCTCTCTGTGCACAGAGATTTTTACTGC